AGGATGGGGATGAGGATGGGGATGAGGATGGGGATGGAGAAGAGGACGAGGAAGATGGGGAAGAGGATGAGGATGGGGATGAGGATAAGGATTATGATGGGGATAATGAGGAGAATTGGGATGGGAATGAAGACGAGGATGCAAAAACTGCGCAGCTTCCTGCGTTGTCGCCCGTACTCACATCAATCTCACGGAACATTGTGATTTTTGACATTTTTGAGAAGCATTGATAATCTAACCTATTATTAACCTTTTATAAATTTTTATTCACAATTCATCATTAATATCAACAAGTAAAAATTACAATGTAACTATTTCATATGCGACAAAGACAACTAGATCAGTCGTCAAAATACGTCACCAACGAATGTCACACATGCGTGACAGACAAATGTCACACACGCGCATCATCCGAGTGAATCGCGCGGCGTTGTCATGGCGACGCAGCCTCCTCCCTCGCTCACCTGCAGCCCGGTCGTCACCTCCTCCATCTTGTCACGGCTGAGATCCAGGTAGCTCTCTATCAGGTCACCGTCAATGAAGCCAGTCGGGGCTTCAGTCTTCTTCTCAGTGCTGAACGCCCTCCAAGTGATCACGCAAGGGGTCAAGGTCAAACAACGGGGGTTAGGGTTAAACGACAGGAGTCAGGGTTACACAATTGCCAGTGGCGTTATGGTCACATGACTGCTAGCAGGCCGGGGGGTTGAATCACGATTTGATTGATTGATTGATCATTATGATTTCATATGAGAATTTTACTTACAAAACGTTATTTTGAACTAAATGAATTGAATTGAGTGGAATTGAATAATCTAATTTCGCCTCATCATATTCTAATCACACCCCACAGTCTCCCAGCATGCAACACTGTTCACCTCCTGAAGCCACAGCGACACTGCTGCTGCCACCTGTTGTTAAAGGATATAACTCGTGGTCGATCTTTCCGACACTCTTGATGACCTTGGCAAGTTTCGTCTGCATCTCCAGGAGGAAGTTGAACATTTCCGGCGGGAACTGCGTCACCAAGCCTGCAGCAGGGATGTGCACGATGGAGGGCGAGATTGGCAGAGGAAAGATGACGCATGTAGATCACGGGTAAATTGTCTCTAATGCATTTTTTGAGATTATTTACTCCTGATGTATGTATGTATGTATATATATATATATATATATATGTGTGTGTGTGTGTATATATATATATATATATATATTATAATGTAATTATTATTCATAGAGACACTGAGATTCAAGATTGAGAAATGGGGTTAAAGATAATGATTCAGTTTAATCTTTCAAATATTAGGTAATATATATAGAATTCATAATTTCCCACTATCATTAAGCCATGCAGCAGCTGAGGAACTGTTGTGACCTCTCTCCCGTGACGTATGTGCAAACGAGCGTGAAAGTCAACAGATAAATCTATCATAGTTGGCGTCTGGCAACATAATTATCAAGTTTATTTACAGATATCGTTTACAGGTTACTCACGACCGCGCCCGCCGTCTCCCGTCGCCATGACGACCCGCATGAAAACCGAGGCGACGCCCGGAGGCGGCACTGTCGCCACGGCAACAGGCATTCATTATAAATACCGTGAGCGAAAGTCGAGCGCGCGCGACATGTGGCACTACGTAATGGGAGCACTCTAAAGACCGGGTCGGGATGTCGGCTGATGCAGGGCGTCACTAATGCCCGGGTCGGGATGGCGACGGATGCTGGGCGCCATTAATGACCGGGTAGGGATTCTGGCAGATGCGGGGCGTCACTAATGACCGGGTCGGGATGCCGACGGATGCTGGGCGCCATTAACGACCGAGTCGGGATGCGCTCCTACATTAGACAGCTCTAACGCACCGTGTGGAATCAACCACCGCTACCAGGCAATACCTGACGTACAGAGACATTAATGCTGCAAAACATAGCCACCGCCCGCCCCGCCCCGCCCCGCACACACACACACACACGCACACACAAGGCAGCGCCCTGCTGCAGCGTCTCCCAGCAGGGTGCGCCGTCGGCAGCATCGTCGTCGTCGTCGTTAGTGGATCCGCGTCAGTTCCTCGACCATCTTGATGATGTCATCTACCGTGGCTTCCCGCTTCATCCCGCTGCCGTCGTCAAGCTGAAAGACGAGGATGCTGATGAGCAGGAGGATGCTGATGAGCAGGAGGATGCTAATGAGCAGGAAGATGCTGATGAGAACACGGGATGCAGGATGAGGGGGAGGATGGGGATGAGGATGAGGATGAGGAAGAGGATTAGGATGGGGATGGGGATGAGGATGGGGATGGGGATGAGGATGAGGATGAGGATGGGGATGAGGATGGGATGAGGATGGGGATNTCACTCGCGCACCTATGCACGCACGCCCGCACGCACGCACGCACACACCCAAACACGCAGACACACAGCTCACTCACTCGCGCACCTATGCACGCACGCCCGCACGCACGCACGCACACACCCAAACACGCAGACACACAGCTCACTCACTCGCGCACCTATGCACGCACGCCCGCACGCACGCACGCACACACCCAAACACGCAGACACACAGCTCACTCACTCGCGCACCTATGCACGCACGCCCCCACGCATGCGTGCACACACCCAAACACACACAATCAAACACTTAGATTCCACTAGTAGGCTGCGCATAAAATATATACGTAGGAACTTAAGACAAATGAAATATAAAATGAACAAAAAAAACTGTAAGATCGCTGCAAAACCATCACGAACAAAGACACGACCGACCGTCCCGTTGCCATGGCGACGGGTGGATGCGTTGCCATGACGACCGACTCACCAATGGCTCCGTTGACAGTGCCGAACAGAACGCATCCCTGCGTCGGCGTCGAGTTCTCGCCAGGATGCTGCATGACCAGCGAACCTGCGCAAAACAAGCGAGCATCTTTCTCAGACGAATGTGAAACGCATACCAATACGCATAGCAACGCATAGCGACCGATGATCAGGATTGGAAGCTGAAGCTCGTAAATGTCTGAACAAAAGTCGAACGTGACTGCTCACCGTGTCGGAAACAATTGACCATCTCTCCGAGGTGGTAGAGTCCGACCTCCTGCAGATGCTGCCTCTCCTCGTCTGTCGTCGCCGCGCTGCAAAACAATTGAACGCGTCGATAAAAACAAACAATAGTTTAACATATATTAATAAATATTTAAAATAAAACATTTAATTATATAATACGTATACAATTATAAAATAGCCCATTTAAAATAATAAATATAAACAATAAACGTTGATACTAAATGTGCTCGAAACGTTACCATAGTGACCGTTGTCATGGTACATGATACACCTCACATTCCACCGCTATAATGAAACTCTACACTTGATACGAGTGCATTCAGATTTTCTTGCATTTCCACTAGCAGCAAGCACACCTGCCTACTTTCACTAACACACCTGCCTGCTATGCTCGTTAACTCACCTGTCCTTCTGGCAGGTGAACAGGTTCGAGGAATTCTCGGCTCCCAGGAAGGTGTCATCGTCAAGAATCTCGATGGCTGTCATCCAGTTAGGGTTGAAGTCACGCGAGATCTGTCAACACAAGTGTCACACTCTTCATCCCCTCTCGTCACGCATGTGTCACACTCGTCACGCACGTGTCACACTCGTCAACACCTCTCGTCACGCACGTGTCACACTCGTCAACACCTCTCGTCACGCACGTGTCACACTCATCAACACCTCTCGCCACACACGTCACCTCTACCCCTGACCCCCGCTCACCAACAATTGCCACTCTCCCACTCCCCATTCTCTCTCTCTCTTTTTCCTTCTCTTGCTCTATCTTTCTATTTATCTCTCTCATCCTCACTCTCTCTGCCCCCCTGTCTCTCACTTTAATCCCCTTCCTCCAGGGAGCCCACTACTACTCTTTCTACACACCACCCCTAAAACCCACAACCCCCTACACTCCACCACCAAACACAGGGTGGGTATTAGCCAGGAATGAGTATTGTGGGAGTGCAGAAAACATATTTGGGAGTGCAATTTTACAAATGTACACGGCTTTAGATCAATATTTTAGGCCGTGCTACACATTTTTGGCCGTGCAGTTTCAAAACTGACCGCGCAAATCACGACTGCACGGCTCGCTGGCTATAATACGTCCCCCCCTACACCCCACCTCTACACACACCTCCCCCCCCCCTACACCCCACCTCTACACACACCTCCTCCAGCGATCCCTCCATGGGTTTGTAGGCGAGCAGGGTGATGCTGCGCATCATGTCTCCGACGAGAATGAAGTCTCCCTTCGTCTTCAGGTAGAGAGCGATGATGTTGTTGAAGTCACTGCATTCCAGCTTCAGCTCTCGCTCAGCCGTCCACTCGTAGAGACGCACCTGTGAGGGAGGTCAACGTCAGGGTCAAAGTCAGAGGGTCAGCGGGTCGCGAGAACAGGGTAAAAAATACATGGGAGTGATGAGCGATTCGCTCTTCAAACCTCCGAAATTGCTCCCGTAAGGCTCAAAATAGCTCCCCCACAGACTTGAAAAACAGCTCCCGTGAAAAAAAAGTAATTTTTCCCTGCACGAGAAATAAAATTGAACTACGTTGAAATAAAAAATTTTGAATAATATTTGTTGATATAACACGTTGAAATAAAATTGTATTGATTGATAAAAAAATTTTAGGTCGTGCTGCGTCACGCTGCATCGTGATTCATCGCGTTACATCGTGTGTCGTCAGGCTACATCATGCTCTGTTGTACTTTACTGCGCTACGCCGTGTTACATCCTGGTTTGCCATGTTAAATTGCGTGCTAGCACCACGTTACATCACGCTACACCCCCGTCTTACATCGTGCTACATCATGTTACATCATGCTGCATCATGCTGCGTCGCGCAGCGTTGTGTTACATCATATTACATCATGCTGCATCATGCTACATCATGTTACATCATGTTGCATCATGCTACATCATGTTACATCATGTTGCATCATGCTGGCGTGCCGTGCTAAAACATCAAGCAGCTGCACCACCGTCTTACATCATGCTGCGTCGTGCTACATCATGTTACATCATGCTGCGTCGTGCTACATCACACTGCACCACCGTCTTACATCGTGCTACGTCGTGCTACATCATGTTACATCTTGTTACATCATGCTGCGTCGTGCTACATCACACTGCACCACCGTCTTACATCGTGCTACATCATGTTACATCATGCTGCGTCGCGCAGCGTTGTGTTACATCATATTACATCATGCTGCGTCGTGCTACACTCATGTTTACATCATGCTGCGTCGATGCTAACATCAACAACTGCACCACCGTCTTACATCGTGCTACATCATGTTACATCATGTTACATCATGCTGCGTCACGCTGCATCGTGATTCACGTACCGTGCTGTTGATGCTGGCGAGCAGCTTGCCGTTGAACTCGACGAGTGAGTACGGCGCCCCCTTCAGGTCTTTCTCGGCAACCTGCTGCAGCTTGCCTGCGAAACAACACCATGGCGCGAGCGTGAGTTATCATTGGGAGCAACGTATTAGCCAGCGAGCCGTCCAGCCGTGATTTGCACGAGCAGTTTTGAAAAACTGCACGGCCAAAAATGTGTAGCATGGCCTAAAATATTTATCTATTGTCTTGGCTGAGACACACATATAAAAAAATTGCACTCCCAAATATTTTTCCTGCACTCCCACAATACTCATTCCTGGCTAATAACCTGATTGGGAGTGCTTTATGCCATGTCGAGCATGGGATATCCATTGTGCAGTGTGTTGTGGGGCTAGCAGACATTACTGTATACCCTGTATATTACGCGGTGGTATAATTTTCCGCGAATTTAGCGAACGCGTCCCCGACCGCGAAAATAACAACACGCGAATAACTCATACCGAATAATACCGAATAATTCATAATTCACCGACCGCGAAATTAACCACTCGCGAAATTGTCCGTTAAGTCTGAATTTGCGAAACTATCTGTACGCGAAAAATATGGCGTATACAGTAATTCGCTCTGAGCCGCAGCAGTAGGTAAGCCTGCCTTGCTGTCTTCAAAGCTTAGGCCATCCTTAAAAAATTCTATGTTTGCTGTCCCCCGACCGATGATTTTTTTAGTGGGTAGGTAGGTAGGTC